AAGTCACATATAGAGTTTCTGACTGGCTGATTACTATACGTTAAGTAGCATTGCAGAATCTTCGAGAAACTCAAAGACATCTAAAATGCTATAAAAACTCTATATTTTCTGTACTAAAACGAACTTTTGGAGTAAAAAGCTTCTCGCATATTTCGCGCCTTTTCTCTCGTCCTCAGGCCGCTGTGTAGTTCTAGCTTGGGGGTTACGAGGATAGCTTAGGAACCGAATATAGGGTTCAATTAGCAAGACCTATCGCACATCAGGTAAGCGGATAACAAGCATACCGTTGTAGGCTTTGTCACATGAAAAAGAAAAAGCGCTGTGAGAACCTACCTATAGACTGCTCTAAGGTAAATCTATGGTTCCAGTTCCGGATTCACATATCCACGCAAAACAAACTATGGGGTAGCCAAATCTGAGCGGCGTAGAGGATGTGATTAAGAGACAAAATAAGTTAGATGAGTGGCTCACAGTCACACATTGGAAGAGAAAAGTAAGAAAACAGAATGTGACTGCTGCGTTTGACGCTAAATTGGAATCGGATCGCAGGGAAGAGATGTTTTCAGGAACTAAAATTTCACGACGTCTTAAGACGGAACTCGCTAAGAAGTCAGTCATTTTTTATAAGTTAAGAGAATTTTCCGAAAAGGAACCAAAGGCTAGATTTGAGCACAACCTCAGTTACATGAAGTCCTTACCAAGCCAGTTATTACCAGAAACAGTTTCGGGAGTTAGCATCTGTAAGCTTTATAGAATAGGACAAAAGGTGGATTCTGAAAGTACTCATAAAAGCCGCCTCTTGAAGGTACAGTTGAGGAAACATGACGCTGGGAAACTGATACTGTAAACTGATTGGATCCAGATTCGACGTCCGTGAGGATCTCAGCCTGGTCAACCGTACTAAGAGACGAGCTGCAGAAGTAGAAATAAACGAGCGCTGCCGAAACGGTGAAACAGACCTCGTAATATAGGGTTTTTAAATTGTAATAGTTCGGAGCAAAACAATTACCAAACCACTCTGATGGTAAGCGAAAGTTTTCCACAGAATTAAAGGTGTGCTACATAAACGCTCGCAGCCTACTAATAAAATGGCGGAGCTCAAGACAATAGTGGATATAGAAAAAACGGATTTCCTTGCTGTCTCAGAAACATAGTTAATATCAGAAGTGTTTGATAATGAAATTCAGTTGATTGGCTTTTATCCAGTAGGGCTGATAGATTAAACCGCAGGAGAGGCGGTGTTATCCTGTACACGAAAAGTAAATTGACCATACTAGCAGTTGAGACAGTAGCACGTGATTCAGGGACATGTGAACTGGTGCATTGCAAGCTGAAATGTAGACGGCAAGATATTGGATTAGTTGTAGTACATCGCAGCCCAGAATGTGTAGTAGATGACCTCCTAAGCAAACTTAGGTCCTGGTGTAATATGGACAAAAGCCTTATGGTAGGCGACTTTAATGCACCGTATGTAAACTGGGTACACCTAGAAGAAGGGTCATCGACAACGTCATTCGATTGCAAACTGTTAGAAACCTCAGTTACACTAGCTCTATTCCAGCACATTGGAGATCCGACCAGATATGAATTACGAAGCTCCTCATCTCTCTTGAACTTTGTCTTCACGTACTGTGATGACATCAATCAAATGACATTCCTTTCACTTCTAAGGAGAAGCGATCATGCAGCCATATTATTGAAATTCATGGCTGAGATTGCCAATCAAACAGTTGCGCCGGACCGTCCTAACATGTGGAAGGCAGACATGGAAGCAATCAACTCTGCAGTATCGGCTGAAAACTGGAAAATTGACTCAAGAGCATCAGTAAAAGAGGCATGGACTCACTTCTGACAATTAAACAATCGGTCAACTGAGTCATATATATACTGTGAGCACGGTCATCCGTGGATAGAAAGAGATATTCGACGTTTACTAAGACAAAAGAAGAAATATTGGGATGTTGCTATCAGCCTTGGCACAGCAGGTACGATTAAACATTACAGGTCGATAAGAAGCACGTGTATAATTAAAATTCAGGAAGCTCAGAGAAAATATGAGATGCGGTTGGCACAATCCGCAATCAAGCAGCCTAAGAGACTTTTATCGTACATAAATTACAGAACAAGGATGCAGCACTGGGTTCCCAACTTAATTAAGAGAGTGGACCTGAAACGATAGAGGTTGATCAGGAAAAAAGCAGAAGCTATGGCAAACTATTTCAGGGCAGCTTTCACTCAGGAGCCTCTTCCAGACGAAGAAATAGACCCAAATAAAAGTCAACAAACCTCCTGCTCACCGTGGACTTTGTTCGAGACGGTGTATTTAGGGCTCTTAGCATATTAGACATAGAAAAGCCAACAGGACCGGACGAACTACATTCTAAAATCCTGAGACAGATTGCACAATATATTGCAGCCTCATCGACTGTGATATTCAGTATGTCACTTGACCAAGGTGTGTCACCTATGGACTGGAAAGATGCAGTCGTCACTCCCATACATAAAACAGGACCAAGATAACTTCCATAGAATTCCCGAACTCCGGGGCTTACCATACAAAGAGCGGCTTGAAAAACTGGATCTCTTTACTCAGTCCTATCTCAGAATACTGAGAAATGATTTTGGACTTAACATATTCTCTCTTTTTCTTCTCACTGAATCGGGACATCTCAGAGGACGTAATAGGCGAGCAGAAAAACCAAGAACGAACAAAGTACCCGTGGTATACAGGTTTTCACACTGAGTCATCAATATTTGGAACCTGTTACCCGAAGCAGTGGTGTCCGTACCTTCAATTGACTCACTCAAGAGAAGATTCAAGTGGTTCAAATGGTTACGGACGGAATAGAAGAAGCTTTCGCTTAACAGGCTTCCGTGTCTAGTAGCATGGGACCACCAAATACTCCAGGCAGGAATCTAGGTATGTTAACAATAAAACAGGAAAAGAAATTAGTAAATCATAGTGTGATACTATCCTTAGTCCTTAAGAATAGATCAAGTTGCCTCTTAAAGAACTCCTGGGAAGTCACTTGGACTAGCTCGCTCGACAGCGAATTCCAGCATTTGACAACTCTTAAGGAGTAGAAATTGTGTCTACAGTCCGTTCTGCTATGTTGTGTCTCCAGTTTCTGGGTGTTACCACTTAGGTTAGTGTTGGAACTAAGCTTAAGTAGGTGTTTGAGAGGATGTCCAGAAGTGTCAAGAATACTATAAGCCATTAATAAATCACCTCTAAGACGCTTATACTCTAATTGGTAAAGGTTAAGTGAATGGAGGCGCTCTTCATTAAGTTTAAATTTGAGTCCTCGAACTGATTTCGTGGCTTGCCTTTGGATAAGCTCCAGGGTGTCCTTATCCTTTTGGAATGAGGGGGGAAATACTATGTTTCTGTATTCTAAATGGGGACGGATAAAACTATTGAAGATTATATGGAAAGTTCTTCCATCAAACTGGCCAAAAATGCTCTTCAATGTTACCAGTGCAAGGTTTACTCGAATGGCATTTTTGTCACAGTAAGCGTAAGACTTTAAATCGTGGGGCACCAGGACTCCTAAATCCTTTTCGACTAGGGACACTTCTAGAAAGAAGTTTCTTACGTTGTAACTGTAATCTGCAACATGTCGCAGATGGACTACTTTACACTTTGAAGTGTTAAAGGTAAGTCCATTATCGTCTGCCCAACTTTGAAGTCGAGTCAGATCCTCCTGAAGTGCCTGTATATCGTCTTGGTTGCGTACATCTCTTCAAAGTTTCACGTCGTCGGCAAAAAGTAATAAGTCTGACGTTACCTGTTGAGGAAGACCATTTATGTAGTTCAAGAAGAGAAGAGGCTCTAGTACTGAGCCCTGGGGGACCCCACTAGGACATTCCATAGCCTGAGATAAAGTGAAATTAACCCTGACCTTAAAATGTCGATTTTTCAGGTATGAAGTGAGCCAATCGATTAGAGGTGGTATGATACCCAATCGTTTGAGCTTATTGAAAAGACAGTTATGATTAACCTTATCAAAAGCTTTTGAGAAATCTAGGTAGATGATATCAACCTTCCTTTTTTGATCAAGGGTGCTTGTCCATCTGTCCACCGCAGTCAGCAGGTTGGTAATACAAGAGTAACCCTTCCTGAAACCGTGCTGTTGGGGTGAGAAGAAATTTGAGGACAGTAAATAGTCGTTTATACCATCGCATATCAGGGACTCCATGATTTTTGAGGGTATGGAGAGAAGAGCCACCGGTCGGTAACTTGAAGGTTCGCTGCGTCGACCTCCTTTGAAGATTGGTGTGATGTGAGCCAGCCTCAAATTTTCCGGTAGTTTTCCTCGACTTAGCGAGTGTGAGAACATCAGGCTAAGCGGCGTTGCCAAGATTGAGGCTGCTTCTTTCAGTATGACGGAATGGACCATATCCGGGCCTGGAGAAGTGTCTAATCTTAAGTGCTGCAGTTTCCGGAACACCAAATCAGTGCTTAGGTTCACTTCGGAAAGTTCTGTGGAATTGCAAACGAAACTGTCATCAGTAAAGTTAATGTCGGTCGGTTGAAAGATCTGGGAGTAATGTTCAGCCAGAGGGTTAGCGGCGTCGCCATCGTTGTTGGTCGGGCCGTTAAGACCTACCAGTTGGGAAACTCCAGTTTTGGCTTGACGAAGAGAGGCTGCATAACGGAATAAACTTTTAGGATTGCAGGCAAATTTGTCCATAAGCTTTGTCTGGTACTGAAGCCTATCTTCTCTTATAGCCTTCGTGCACATATTCCTGATATGTTTATATTGCCTGTACGCTCCGTCGTTGTCAATACGTTTGTATTCCGCCCAACAGTGCCTTTTGCGGCTTAGCAAGCGAAGGGTACGGTTCTTGATTACTGGATACTGATAGAAGCATACTAGGAAAGGAATAACATAGACCGTGTGCTTTCTGTCTGCACTACATAAATCTAAATCTGAATCTCATGTCCTTTCAGAACTGAAACTGATAACAGCCGGATTGCCCGCGATATCAAGGAGAGCGGGCATATGACTTTTCTTTAGTTGTGTACGTCACGATGATGGAATGGAGGCATTTATAGCTAAAATTGCTGTTTACAACTGGACAGATGTCAAAACTTTATTTTCTTCTACATTTCTGAACCTTAAGGTCTTACTGAAGACCACCAATAGCTTCATTCTAGTTCTTGCAATATTGTTAATAATATATGTGACAGCCTATTCCTTCCAAAAAGTTTGGTCCAGAGAGCTTAAATGTCAAAAAACCACCCTTAAGACTGTGGACTGTCTCAAGCATGGGACCTCAGACATTGAGCTTCTACGTCGAATATATGAGTCGTGTAATTTCACAGCGTCCGGGTTGTGCAACATTTGGTTGCAAAAAATTAATGACTGTATTAACAACTCTTTAGTAGGTTGTTTAGTGTCTACAACTTTATTATTCAGAGAGAGACATCTATTCACTTTACTCCTGTTTCGGAATACACACTCTCCGATGTAAAGATTTCGGATTTCGAAGTACGTAGCGAAGATTTGCCTGGCTGGGTGGTAGGTAATAATTATTTTCATTCATTTTCTAGGCTTTGTATTTTTATGTTTCCATACCAATGTTGTGTTTGCATGGGGACGTAATCACAAGTCAAGCAAAATCATCGCAGAAAGTGACACTATCACTAAGGAACTACCACATGAAGGTTTGGTAATTAGATTATCTATCAAATTTCAGACGCGCTGTATGTTAAAAGTTGATGATTTGGTCCTATTGGAACTGAAAATGCACTCTGAATCTCCACCACAGTTCGATTTACTAATGGATTCAGTAATACCCTTATCTGTAAGTTTTATCTCCTTATAATTTGGATTTTTTTATAGCCATCAAAATTCAAACAACTACTCGTCGACATAATTTCAGAATTAATTGTTTCCTGGTCTCCAGGTGGTTCCATACACTATGGCAAAGATCCATTGGTGGCTTCAATACAAACGGATGACCATTCATCTGATCAGGTTAGTGGATATCTGAAAACGTTCATTTTACTTTATACCAAACTCGAAGTAGTATAAATTGTTAATAAACCGTGGAGGACATGTTTCTTCCGGTGATTTTATAAATAAGTTTAACAAAACGCAACTGAATTTAAACTAATTTGTTGATCTGAGAGACTCCTCACTTTGACCGTAAATGTTAAAAGAATGTAATTCTGACTAGTCAGGACTAGTATAACCCTTAGTGTTAAAATCCACTCCATCTACCTACTAGAAAATAAGTGCATTACATGAAAACTTTCTGGTATACCATGGCGATGTGCACTGCCACCAAAAACATTAAACAGTCCTCTACCATAGATCCTTTATTCGTATATTCCAAGTATTGCTGGTTTATAAAACAAAATGAACGTAACTCAACGACTAAGTTTGTTTTCGTGTATTATGTCTTAAGCCATGTGCCCCGAGAGTGTAAGAAAAGCACTACTGAAATGTGAATCACATGTCTAAAGTTCGGTATCCAAGTCTATGAACTCTGGCTCTTCACATGCGGCAGCACCAGGAATGTATTTGAAGTTACATAGCATTTATATTTCGTCCAATGTTCTCTTAGTAAAGCCTTATTATCTAATCTAAATTTGTATCTTTTATGTGATGTGATCGTAAACTTTAAATACCGGTACTGGGAAGTTCAATGTCTTAACATTAGATATTATTGTTTTTGAAAGTTTTGGCAGTCTGAAAACCTGGTAATTAAATGAATAATCGCAGATTTAAAGCTTGTTCTACACGATTTTGTTAAGAGGAGCAAACATTATTGTCGAATTGCTTCACAACTTTTCAAATTTTCACTTGTATTTCCCCTTTGAATTATCTAAATCTAGTCTTTTCACGGGTTCGAACTATAGCTTTGACATCCGGGTAGTTTCACTAATTTACCCAACAACGTGGCTCGAAGGTGAGCACACGAAACCATAGTTGGTAAATGAATAATAGTATTAGTATTCATCCCTAGCCGTCATTCGGTATTTATTTTGGTATTATCTGTAGACGTACTTGGTTAGTGAGCCGTATTCTAATTTTAACGACTTAAGTTGCTTAAACCGTCATTCTTTTTCGGAACCGATTGCTTAGTAAGTGTTAATATCCGCATCTCACATCTTCTTTTTTTGTAGAACTGACTTTTTCTGCAAATAGTTTTAATTTTTATTTGAAGCTTATAATAATGTGCATTAGCAATCAGGAATCTGTTGGGATTATGTGCCCTGAAAGTGGATTACTCAGTAGATATTACTGGTAAAGATACCGAATAAAAGCTTAAATAGATCTCTTCACAATGTTTTTATTCTTAAGAACTGTGTCACTAAGCATTTTTGAGGATAAAACAGTTTAATCGTATTGTCCCTCATATTTTGATGGTTATATTTCATTGAACAAACACTGAATATTCAATCAATTGAGAGGCTTGCCGGGGATTCTGAGTAGGACTTCCCTGACAGAGGCTATATGCGTATGAACATGTGAGAGGATTTCGAGGGGGAGAGCTGGCTCTCCCCACTCTCGTCTGTACCAGGGCATTTGGGAGCAAGGCTGTGATGGGGGTGGGATCCGAACCCACGTCCAAAATAAGTTTCGTTCATTGACTTTCGATTCGTTTTCAATCGTATAAATTCTTTCAATCCGAAGTTAGTTTATCTGGTTCTCAATGTATCTTTCGCTATACTTATTAATTAAACGATTTTGCATTCAAGTGATAATTAATCAGTTTGGTAAATCTTGTGATTAATAATCGTTGAATTTAATCGATTTATAGCTAACCTTAATGTAAAGTAATTCTTGGTCTGTTACAAAATACATTTTGAGAATTCTCTCCTTTGCCCGGATGTGGATTATTCATGTTGAAGTGTTGCAGTGTTCGTCATCCTATCTGTCTGGTACGCATACATCCTATGTCATATTGGAAAGATCCCCCAACCGGTTGTCGTTGGAAAATACCTTACCGTCCTATTGAGAACCATAAGGCTTTATGAAAGCCAAATAACGATTGCTTGCTGGATAATGATTACAATAATACTGTGAATTGTCATAAAACGTTTAGCACTTTGCCGTATTGAGTTATTTGACCACCGATAATGATGCGCAAATAGAGTTCATAATGCCTTTTTCAAACAAAATCCTTATTAGTAGAATTCAAGTATATATATGAGTTGATTATTCTCTGTCAGTTTATCTAATCATTAACCCCTTTAATCAAAGGACATACTACCTGTATTTTTCATTTATATCAAGAATGTTTTACTGCAAAGAGAACACAAAGGTACAGATTCCTCATATTCACTTCACAACTGGATTGACATCAATGTCAAAACGCAGTCATGTGAATCCGATCTCAAGGATTTAAACCAGTCTCAATCTGAAGGACATGCTGAGGCAAAAACTGTGATGCCGGGAGAAGAGTGTTCTCAGTCGTTAGCTCAGAAAGATAAGTCATTTACTCCAGTTGTACTCGCACATAACGCTCGTTTACGCCAGTCTTTAGTAGCTCGCCATGCTCCACGGCCATTTGTATGTAAAATGATCAGGTCGGCATCTTGCTATGGAGAAGAGGGAACATCCAGTTTGGTTCAAGAGCGAGACTTAGGAAGTTTTGAGTCAGAAGGTGTTGCTGGTGCGAACTGTCGGGACTTAGGATGCAGTAAAGTCGAGTCTGAGGTTCAAATACGAATGGAAACTATCTCTGCTCCATCTAATAAATCAGAGGCGACCAGTACAGAAGTTGTGAAAAGAAAAGAAACTGAAACTTCAATTACTGAAAATGTTGGTCATAAAGACTCTTTACAAGAGTTCAGTCACACAGTACCAGTACGTAAACCAAATACTAAAGTAGATGTATCACCGTTGAGGGAACGCATGGCAAACAATTTTGCATCCAAAAAGCTTTTGGTTAAAGTAGTTAAAGCAGAAAAACTGTCAGTTAAAAGTAAGTTGTTCCGATAATATTTATATTGAGGGAAGCACAAGTGTACAACACTGGTTATTTTCGCTCACACAATGTGGAGCGTTTTAGTTTCTGCATTATTAGTCATTTTTAAGAGTTTTATAAGCAAAACGTTTTGAGAAATATGTAAATAGTCCCTATTTTCTGTGAATTAATTCGGATTGTATTTACACAATAACATAAATTTGTACATCGTAGATAAACCGCTTTCATACAATCCAAGTCGCCGAGTTTCTAGTGCGACTTCTGATCTTGTATCTTGGTGCCCTGGTTGTTATTTATACACAATTTGTGTTGATACTGATTGTAAAATGAGATGCGTGGGACCGTTCATCTGAGTAGTTACATTTATTTTGGTTGGTCTTCACAAATGTAAACAAAGCAGGAACAACAGTGCTAGCAGAAAACGATAGCTTCATTATATTCAGTCCCTTCTTTATCAACAACATACAAACTAGTAAGTTTAGTTAGTTCGGGAAATTAAGGTTGGGAGACGGAAAGTCTACATAGATTTCTGTAGTCAGATTTTCGAAAACCTATATTGTTTCGAAAGCCAAGCTTAACATAGACATCAAGAACTCTGCATATTGAGTAAACATAACAATGGAAGGACGTAGTAAATAAAATGTTGTATGTTAGTTGAAATGTTCACCTCACTCATCACTCAGTGCACTCCTTTTATTTTCCGATATGCATTAATTTATAAATGTTACTATCAGACAGCTTTAACACAAAAAATGCTAGATTTAGTGCGATTTTGATCTATGACAGAAAAACCGGTTATTAAAGTGTGAGTCGATATAATTGCATTGATTTCTGATATAGTGCAGAACATCTGTAGCTCACGATACGCATGTTCCAATATTTGTTTTAATTACCTTAATAACTGGATATCTAAAATAACTTGGTATTTATTGTAACTGCTAGTATAATGGATATTTATTTTGATCTATCAATATCATTTATGAGATTTCAGCTTTGCTCTAGCTAGATTTTACCATTTAGACGAAAGTGTTTTCATCTGACTAAACAACTAAAAAAGGGGATCATTATGTTCGTTCTTGTTTTCGAACCACAAATATGACACTTTTATATTCGCTCCAAGCCAGCAGTCATTTAAATGGCACATTATTTAAAACGGTATAGCCATGCTTTCCCACATTGACTTTAATCATGAATCCATATCACATATTGTTTTATCAAAAGTAAATAAAGTACGTCTTTCTTTTTTAATGATGATATTTAGGCATTTCGGGTGCTTACTGCGTTGTAGAATTGGATGAACCTTATCAAAGACATTCGACTCATTGTTCCATGTCTGGGCAGTTATTTTGGGATCAACACTTGTTGTTGTGAGTCAAAGAATTTTTTCAAGTGCTGTAGACAAGGTGTTTCAGTTTCTCATGTCTATTATCTGGCTTTTTGTTTGACAGCCACAAACACTTGTCATCCGACCATGAGATTGTTCACACAGTTCTAGCTCATTTCATTCTCATATTTAGAGCGGGTTCACTGTACATTAGTTCTGTCATACTTTATGTCTGCAAAACATGACTTTTAGAAAGAATATATTCGTAGGTTATTGGCATTTGACCATAAATACCTACGGACACAGAGTTGTTGTTTATTGAGACTACTGGGTAAATAGTGCTGAGATTAGACTGTGGATACTAGATAAGAATGGTAGATCGATTGGTGAAGCATTGACTCTTGATTGACTAAGGTGGTTGGGACTGCCTACCTCTATATGTGATGTTTTCTGGTGTAGGAGTAATTTGGAATAAAGCTAGAAGGGACCAAAGCAAAGCGTATCACCAACCCATCAAGCTAGTGACTGCTGAATTGAACCATACGAGTAAATGCAGACGACCAAGTTGAGGTCCTCATGATTATCGTAACAAGTTGCAGACTCTGGGTGACACGGCTCAGAATTTATCTCAATGATATAAATGCATTCACCCTTTGTCTTCCCTTAGTTCTTCAGCATTAAAATTAGCTTACACTTTATGTTATGCTAATTCAGTCTCAAATCGTATTGTTGAGGTTTGATCCTTTCTACTACTACTGGTACTATTATCACTTCTACTATTGGAACTCGTCCTGACAATCCCACCGCACTGGTAATGTAGTTTGGCAACTTGGACCAAGCCCTGTATGAGTCAGGTTCTACGTTGCGTATAGGTGACTGACTGACTACATTCTTTCGCATTGTTCTGTTTATTTGAACACACACATTGATACACTTACCTACTTACGCCTGTTACCCCTCGTGGAGGAGCCTAGGTCGCCTACCAGCATTCCCCATCGAACTTTGTCCTGAGCAATCTTTTCCAGTTGCTATTCATCTTTTTGATGTACGTTTCCGATTTTCGACGCAATGTGTTCTTTGGTCTTCCTCTTTTCCGTCTCCCTTTAGGATTCAAAGTTAGTGTTTGCCTCGTGATGTAGTTTGGTGATTTCCTCAGTGTATGTCCCATACACCTCCATTGTCTTTTCCTAGTTTCCTCTTCAGATGGAAGCTGGTTTGTTCTCTCCCACAGAAGCCAGTCCTGTTTGACTTTCTTCCATACCACGACGCCATGTCATACATTGATCACCCCAACCGGTCTTAGCGTCGGCAAGTAATGCACGACGTGGGGTTCACTGGGACGAAATTCGTCAGACAGGTCCAAGCTATCGAAGTCGGTGTTTCAAGGTTGAATTATCGTCTCTGTGCCCAAATACACTAACATGTCACTGTATGTCAACAGTCCTTCCGCAACAACAACATATGTTACTGTAGATTCTACCATGCCAGGCAGGTCGATTGGATTACAGTAAGAATAAAAGCCGCAACTCAAGGTCTGAGGGCGAAGTCGTACTGCCGACTGTAAAGAGGTATAACAGCAGTAAGGTGTATCACTCGAACGGCCCCCAAATGCCCTGGCACAGCCGAGAGTGGGGAGAGCCAGCTCTCCCTCTCGAATTGCTCTCACATGTCCACGCGCATATAGCATCTGTCAGGGAGGTCCTACTCACTGACTTCTCGTGGCATTACTGTTGTTTACGAAATTGAGAGGACGAAAAGCGAACCTCCGGCGCTTTAACCGGGTTGGTGGACATGGAGAGTCTACCTAGGGGAGTTGGAAAACCCTGGTTCCAAACCAATGGTGCACATGGGCGTGTAAACCTGTTGTTGGTCACCTGCTACCATGGGACTGCATCTCCTTACGTTGCTCCACTGTCTTGTGGATCAAACCTTCAGGTCAAAGGCTCCGGGTGTGGCCCCCTAAGAAAACCATCTGCTTCGGTTTGGGCACTCGGGCAGTATCACAGCCCTCACACATATCAAATGAGATCTGTGTGGCGCATATATATTTGGTGCCTTCTTGTACCATTATCTATGTGTTAAAATAAATAATAATTTTGGATCAATATGTAGATATTGTGGATACTGTCCGGTCCTCTAAACTGAAGCGGGTAGTTCTACTTGGAAGGGGATGTTCCGAGGCTTTGACCTAGTGATCTAATCCACATGGCACTGAAGCAACGTTAAGAGATGCAAGCCCATGGTAGCCAGTGACGAACAGTAGGTAAATGTTTCAACACTATTTTGGAACAATTGTATATTCACGGTTTTATCAAATATATGACAATTCATCTATGTACGGCTCTTTTCTCACACTTTTTTAAATAGTTTTTTTCCTTTTTATCAATGAGCATTATTTTTTATCTGATAGAATTTGACTGAACATTTTATTAACAATTTTAGCGACCTTAATAACAACTCCAAACGAATCGCACTTGAAATTTTCGAGCTAGGCAAACGAAAAAGTGAGTCCATTCAGTTGTAAATATTATGAAGTATTTTATTGAGAGCGCACATTTATAATGTCCACGTAATTACAAAAGATTTACGTTAATGTAGATTTCGAAGTCAGATATTCAAGTTCTCATCCCCATTTTATGTTAAGACAATATGTATTTAGAGATAGAATTCACCGTTTCAAATCTCACTTTTGTAAGCACCAGACACTAACTTTATTTCACTTAAAATAAGTCATTTTCCAAGTATACAGGAAAACTGGTACCAGTCAGCTTTAGACTATTACACACCAGCCATATTTCTTATTGAAAATCCTAATTTTCGTTGTAGTACAAATGTATGACGGATGAGTTTCAGTGAACAAAAGTGTCTTACATTTTAAGCTCCAGTGTAGTCCATTTTCTTCAAAATTTTATTTTTTCCTATTTCATCTACTCGTAATAGCTGGTTGTAATAATCTTTTGTTCTATAGTCGTTTATACCTTTTATTGGGCAACATATAGTTCTGTCTTGTCACTGGAATTTATGGCTAAACTAATCTTATGATTTAGACTTTCGTATGAAGTTTCAAATATACGGAAGCATCTACGGTGTTGTTACTAGGTTCTCTCTTGTGTCTATTTTATGATATTTATACGGTATCATGCTTAATTAATGGGGTGAAACAGTTTGTTCAACTTTTCAACACTGTGCATCTATCTGTTTTTCTATGTAAAACAGATACAGCACTATTTTCACACTAAATTTATTTCAACAAGGAAATTTATCTAATACAACTAGAATAGTACTGCTATCTCCAAAAAATGTGATTTTGCCTGTCTAACTAGTTCAACATTTTGAATAATTGGTGTATATCACTAGTTCGAGTAACTTCAGTCAGTCCGTCAAATGCAACGTAGAATCTTTCATCTGTGTACATCAGTTATCTCACTCCACTAACACAACAGTATGAAATTATCAAGCTAAAACTTAGAGTAGTAGAGGTGGCAACCGAATTAAAGGTAGTAGAAAGAACTAGACATTCATGACACAATTCAAGAAGAAAATCTAAGATAAAAAAATTGGTGAGAAATTTAAAAACTTGAAGTCTAAGGAATGACAAATGCACCTGTGACTTAGTTTAAATGAATTCAGCCATTAAACAAGACTAACAAAACATACACAAGGTTTTAATGTTGTTTAAGGTACTTACTAATGTATGTTTTTGTAGAATCGTATTCACGAGGTCGCGCAGAACTATTGTTAATACACTTGCTAACTAAACCTAATTCTGATGGAGATATGGAAACGAATTCCGTCAATATAAGTGATACTATTCGACGTCAAATACCACTCATTGATCGATCAGGTAGTTTGCTCGAAGGTACAAGTACGTCTAATATTGTTGCTTCACCTGCGGTGCAGTCTGTCAGCGGAGGAAACAGCCTTTCCGTAACCAACCAAAGTATATCTACTAATACAAATGCTGCTGGTCAGCCCTCTGAGAATTCGATCCCCAGTATCATAGCAGAGGTTAGTCAAATAAGTTTGAGTGGATGTAAATGTTATTGACTTAAACATTATGTGTACTACAAATTTTTCACAAATCACAAAATCACATCCGAACAAAGCTATTTTGTTAAGATAAATTCTTAGTTGAGGGTCACCTGTTTCTACTGGGTTTTTTTTCGTTAATTGAATACATGTTTTTCTCAAATTCTCATCCTGTAAACGTATAAGCGCTTAAGTGTTAATCAATACATCACTGGTTTAAATAACACTCCATTTACTTTATTCTGGAACGCTGGGACAAGATAGTTATAGATAACAGTTTAATTCACTCATGTGTATACTGTTACTTGATTCCAATAACTACTAGAATGTTTATTTCTCGTGATCTAACCTCTTATCACATTCAGTATCCTTATCAAATGCGTTCCATTGTCTATGCTCAACATACATTGGCTTGTTGAACTGTTTAGCTTGAGTTACATATAAGATTACAGTGTATTTACTTCAGTGATTAAATAGATCAAGAAGAGATAGTTGTTTCTTGGAGTTTATTATTTCAAGTTGATAACTGTATTCGATTGGTGTATAAGTACATGTAGGTTCAAAGTGTAAATTGGTTTCAAACTAGCAGAACTAGGCAAAACTTTCTATTATTTGATAAAGTTAACCAAGTATCCGACGTATTCATCAAAAGAAAAGAAAAGTATAATCCTGAATATTTACCAACGGTAATGGTTACCGATCTATTTTATGTTGATGATCACTATATGAATTAGTGTTTTTACTCATTCAGAAATTAAGTATATCTAAAGCAGGTTCTTATTTTTCTAAAATACTGTTACACTCTCATGTTCATAACTGTAGTACTTTATTTCACTGCTTTGTTTCACTTCATTAGATAGATGCTTTGTTTGCTACCAGTTTACACGGAATACTATATTTTCCATTTATTTAAATAATCGAAGATCCATTTCTTCCTGGATATATCTATTTTGTTTAAAAATATCATCTTTAGTCAACATTTAATTGTAGTCATGTATGATGTTAAATTTATCGTTACTTCCTAGTTGTAATTTACTTGATAGTAATTTAAAGTCAATTTCAGACTTTTGGGTTTTCAATAACTGTTAAGATTTTCTATCAGAAAGGGGGTTTTGTGGAGATTGTATTAATTTAATGGTTGAATTCATGAGTCGATTAAAGCTAGACCTCCATGTAAAACCCAGAAGCACTGGACAGTCGTTTCGTCCTAGTATGGAACGCCTCAGAAGTGCGCATCCACGATCCCGCTCGCGGGATTCGAATTTATACTAGGACAAACGGCCATGCAGTGCTTCTAAGTTTTCCGTGGTGGTCTCACTTTAATCGACTCATGAATTTAACTATTATGTTACGATCTTTCTGATGAATGCATTTATCCGCTTTATAGTTCAATTTTATGGAAAAAGCTACCGAAGATTTTCGCTCACGTGCATCGCCTGGTTCTTCACAAATACGTTTCTCTTCTTCACGGACCACACAACCTCCAAGTATTCATAATCCCAACCAAGATCATCAACCAACAGATCATTGCTGTGCATTTTCACATTCCGCTTCTTCAGAATTTCCCAATGTCAAATCTACATTCTTGACACATAATAAAAATATAACCGAACACATAATGCAATCTGTGGTTGAGCATATTCAAACTGATTCTGGCGAGGAAACGGATAATTTGTCCACATCAAAAGACAGTGATGTTGTTAGACAATCATCAAAAGACACAACTAATGAGATCAAGGTTGGTGGGATATTAAAAACAGGGAACCTTTCATCTCCAATTTCTTGTCGAAAAGCCAATTATGAATTACATACTATTCGTAGTGTGGATGAAGAACATCCTAGCATACCATCATCTCCTTTAATTTATGATACAACAAAGTTGTCAGAAACCAGTTCTGAAGGTCATGGTTCTTCTTGTGATTTAAATGAGCAATTTAAGGAGTCCGTTTCTTCTAATGAGCAACATGTATTTCAAGGAGTATCAGAATCAGGTAAAGTGTTTATTGATTATATTTTTGAGTGAAATATTAGTAGAAATGATGTAATGTGCAAATTTAAATATCTCTTCATTTACAACTCGTTTTTTTCTAAAAACAATAACCATATCTTAGACGGTCATGTAAAATCACTAGTGAGTTTTCTACGTGCATATACTTTGTACGGATGGTGATAATGAAATGTTCTGCATGTACTCAGTTGATCTGCCAAAGTCAATGTATTGCATGCTAACGTGTTGGTATCTAGTGTGAATAACCCGAGAAAACACATTTTTACATTGATAAAATGAGCATATCTAGGTATACGGTTATTATTAAAAGTTCTTTTTAAACCCAGAGGATTTTCAGTTTTTTCAATAAGAAATATTATTGTTACATAGTTTATTTACTTCATTTTAGTGCAATCCTATCAATTTCCTTTGAAGTTAACTATGCTTTATTGTATTCATTGTTTATTTGCATTTTACACGTTTGTTTAGACCCATGTATGCAGATAAGGTACTTTTTGCCCGATTTGTTTATTGGTTTTCTTTTACATATTACAAACAGCTACAACTCTAAAAAGCAATCACTTTAATGTATTTATCTCAGTCAGTAATATTTTATTCCTAAAATTGTTTTAAATTTGTTTCATCTATAGGCCGTTTCAAACGGTTTCAAACAATATTAGACTTAGTATTAATGTATTGGTACAAGTTATCGTTTTTCATATCGATACAACAGTTAATTAATAAAATAATAAATGAAGCAATAAAGATTATTATTTTATCAACAATAAAGAAATATAAGTAAAAAGCAAAAAGCGAAACACCGACAAGACCAGTGGTTTCAAGAAATTCAATGTTCAATCAAGACTCCACAAATATAATGTCTTATTAAACATGCAGTCCCCTACTACTTTTTGAGAATCATACTTGAAGTCTCTAATCACTAATTAAATTTGTATCACTATCGCCAATCAAAAACCTGTGCTTCAGACGCATACTGTGTCACGGTTTGGCTAACTTTCTATGCGCTTCTATGATAATCAGCCTACCACATCGATGTAAGCAGTGACAACTTCAGTATGTCAAATGCCAATCACCTCAGTCAACATTAGTTTATATGCTAACTAACCTAGTGCTCTACACACTGTTAGCATTATTCACCATTCCATGATTCTAACATCAACGCGCAATGCTTTCAAGCCAACTATGATCGAATATTTGAGTTCTGCACATGTCTTCTCCGTCCAATCGATATATTCGCTAACTTTAGAGTAATATAAGAACCAGACTGTTGCTCAGTAAATAGTGCCTGGAAAAGATGGTATGTGGTGGCAAAAGCTAAACTTATCACTTTTTTGATCAACAACTAGTCAGTCACCAACTCTCTAGGATTTGGTGATTTCAAGGTTTAGTTGAGCGTCGAATGATGATGGTTCTTAGGATCTTAAATACTTTGCTAATCAAACTAATTATTGCGTGGTTACAGTAAAAAATTTCCATCCTTCCTTATAAATTCGAAAGTTTTTCAATCATGATCAATCAACACTCAATTTCTATGGTCATCCGTTATAACTAGTCAACTGGAATAGACCTACCTTGCTCCAGGTTGGTTGCTGCTCTCTCAAATTCACTGAAAGTTGGAGCCCATTATCAATGGCCCACATAGACTATTAATAAATAGTAGGCAACTGGGATACTAACGAAGGATAGTTAAACTGGTTTTTTAGAGTATTTTATTCATCGTCCTGGTTTGTCATAGATTACTGATTCGTCTTTCTCGTAAATAGTCTCATCATTTGTTAAAGTTTAGAGTTCCTACTCTATCTGAAAGGTTCGAACAACTGTTTAATTTTGTGTCTTTCTCCAACACATTCTCTGTTTGTAGTTTTCTTGTTATCTACCGCTCGTAATCATTGGGTAGAATTTTTACCCGTTTAGAGTCAAATTAATTTCAACTTCCTATCAAATCAAGGTTCCAATTCATTTTTCCTATAGCAAATTATTAGGTGTCCTAATGCACAACCTAGCAATTACTTTTGCTGACCTTCTGTCTTAAGGTGAACTCAATACAACCAGTGTAGTGAACGAAGACCAAACATAATTTTATGCAAAATCATACAGTGTCTTTGTAAAATATGAAAATCATATATTGAAAAACATCATTTGCACATTTAACTTCAGTTGTCCTTTTCATACTCTATCATTCTTCCAATTCTATTATTCAGATTGCTCTCTGTTTTCTTTTCTTTTCTCTTTATTTTAATTTTCTGCATTATACTTCCAATTCCCACTACATACTACTTATATCTGTTCATATAAATAACGCACACCACACTAGTAAGAAGTAGTAGACTGATGTATATTTCATTTCATACTCAATGTAAAATTATGTTTTAAAAAGATATCTCTTTTTCTCTTTTAATATGTATTTCAAGGATTCATCCATGGACTTACTGACTAACTAACTGAATGATTAGTATTCTCATACAGTATCCATGTTAATTAAACACCTTGAAAAAAAATTTTCTAGCTGTAATTTTGAACACCTGCTGTTTTTCTTTCTGTTTCAGTTTAAAAAAAATATCTACCAGAATATATTTTTTTTGGGGGGGGTCATAATTTATCCAACTGAGAAATTATTGCCTGTTTAATTTTTTTTCCTCTTCTTCTTCTTCTTTAATTTCACCTTAATCACATTTTTAAATATGTATATACGATCATATAACTAACACATGTGAATATTGTCACATTGTCTCCTTCTTTCATATGTTCAATTTATTCTTGCTTACTTGTATCTGTGATATTCATACGTATTCGTGTTTTCTTTCTGTGTCTTACTTGTTTCAAATTAGTCTACTTGTTTCCTGACAAAAAAAATAAGTATTTATTATATTTTTACCTTCTTTTTATCCACTTCGTATTTATCCAACCACTCATTCAAATTATTATTATTATTATTTTTTCTTAGAATTGAAGTTGCTTTTCTCTTGTTTTCTTTCCTTCCTATTCTTCTTTCCTTTGTGTTCCTAAAAAAATTTCGATTCATTTTAAAGATGAAGTATAAAGTCTAACAAGATTCGAATTGTTGTTTAGATTGACGAATAATATTGATTTTTTTTTTCAATTTGACCTCCTTCATCTCTACCCTATTCTAGAACACATTATATTTGTTAATCATAAATAGAAATAAACCTGCATATATGTGTACATGTGTGCATCTTTTGATACACTATTTGTCGATATAACGTTAGTTTACAGGCTATTGGCATTATCTTATAATATTGCATTGGGTGTCCATTTTATAGTTCTATTCTTTTAGCATGTGTTGTTGTATGCGTATGCGTATGTACAATATGTATTCATAATTTTCTACTTAATATTGATTTTTATTAGTTTCCACTATAAGGCAATGCACACGTTTGTTAAAAAAAAATATTGACGACGTTATAATGTACCCAAGTGAACGATTCGTTATCTTTGGGAAAGAGAAAATAAATACCCTGAACAATATGATAGTTTTTCTTATAAAATATATTATTCATAACAAATGTAAAAGTTTATCTTCGTTTAAATGTACATTTATGAAGGGATCATACTTGTTTACGGTAGAATTTAGCTATTGAAGTGTATTCTTTTGATGAGTTAGTCAATAGAGCCTAGCAAAATTCGAACCTGAGTTACAATACTCTATAGCTGAGTGGCTTCAACTATTAAGACATCACGAGTTTTGGTACTGACTTACATTCAGTTCGGATTTATAAAATGATCGTATAACAAGTCATTAGCTGAAATAGATTAATTAGCGGGATCTCTGACCGGGACTAAACAACGTCAATTTTAATCTCAGTTGAGCTTATCTGAGATTCAGAAAAGCTTCTTTTGATCTCTGACTGCTAGAAAATACGTTTAAAAACATTCGGACATCTACAATACATTATAATTAAATGTAACTAATTTTTAAAAACTGTCATAAATAATAAAAAAATGTCAACTTTCTATAGCCGGTTCAAGTCAATGTAGAAATAAAATGATAGGACATCAATGATAAGATTTGTTAGATTCATAAAAAAAGCACATTCACAATTATTGTGTTTAATTATATATTTACAGTGGCCTCGGGAATAGGCTGAAATATTAGTCGATTAGAACATTTGCAATCAATAAGAGAGTTTATGATAAAAACGCTAAAAAGACAGCGTTGAGATAATTGATGATGAAAACAACAAATTCACATTTGTATAGAATAAGTTTAGAAACATCATGTTTTACTTGGGTTTTTTTTCAGTACAGTTATCAATCCAGACTCATATAACAAAGTTCCTTAAAGTTGATATGGTTTTATCACTATCTATTTAATAGTCTATCTTATCTGTTCACCAAAGTGATTCTTTTTAAATTTAACCACGATATTTTTATTTTTTATATTACTGAAACCACGGATTTATGGTTTACTTGTTGGTATCAATATTGTGTTTTTCGTGTATGGAACGTTTTGAAAGTCATTAGTTTACCGCCTTGTTGTAATCGGCATTTAAGTACAATCAAAACACTTAAGACTCAAGCTATTAGTTTATTTTTATTGTTAACATTTATCCTATAATTTACTGTTATATCGTCATTTTCAACAGAATGTTTGTCAACTTCAATCTCTTGTAGACCGCTACTTTGGTTGATGCCAATTCATCGTATGGAAGTAAAATAGGTGGGTTGTAGTTTGTAGCCTATTTACGTTTCATTGTTTTTGAAACTGTTGTCTTTCAAAATGTTTAGTTTTAAGTTTCGCATTTTATTTCAAATTATGAGTGGAATAGCTTTTGCTTTAATAATCTGTTGTAGCATAATCTTATGAATATTTTCTTGTGTTGACTATGTACTAAAATAAGAAATTAGTCAACATGAAATTGAATTACTTACTGAGTACAGTCTAGATTTACTCTGTGAAATAACTAGTCTGTATACAACACTGACCGGAATCTTCATAATAACATCAGTTCTCTTATGACTACAGATAATACTCCTCTAATGAAGGCATCTTTACGTGTCGAAATTCTAAGATATTTTGGAAGCTACCACCAACCATATATTTTTTTAAGAGTGGAATCTTTTTTTGGTTGGTTTGATATTGATTTGAATGAACTCTTTGGTCACTCAGTCAGTCGTACTCCAAGTAGATCCTGGCACATATGTACATCGGTTCAAGTTGCCATACATCATTAACACAGTGCAATAAAACTGTCGGCAAATTCCAGGGTAGTGGAAGTAGTAACAGATATAGTAATAGATTAGATAATGAGGATACGATTCGAAAAGAAAATATAGATTCGTGGAATGGAAAATAAATTTGTAATAACTAAGAAACTTGGGATCTGAGGAAAGACAAGTAGTGAGGGTGCACCCGTGTCACTGCTAATGATTCGAAGCCATGTCACCCAAAGTCTCCAACCATTGGTTAAGATAGTCACTGTAACCCCAACCAAGTAATCTGCACCTATTTATATAGCTCAATCTGACACTCGTCGCCGTTAATTTCTATGTGATCTTCCTCACCGATTTTATTTCCATATAAACCGAACTTATCTACTGAACTGAACTATTGTATATTTGTTTGTTACGAACCGCATTTGTGAGGTTGGTACACGTGAAAGATGTTTAACACACAAAAACTAATGTTTGTCAATTTTCCTTTACAGTAGCTTTATTAATAAAAATTGGAAAATTTAAAAAACTAATTAATTTTTGCTTTGTTCTTGGCAGATTCCAAACAGGGTGATATTTTATGTAAACGCTCAGCTCTACTTGGTTCTACTGGTACTAATTTATCGAATAATTTAGAATCAGCAAGTATTTTACTTCGGGTTGATTCACCAGTAAGCTTAGATAGCCCATCTGTGTCATCAAGACCCCACTCTTTAGCCAGTCGTTTAAAACCAACACGTATATTGAATTCAAGTGTTTTACGTTCAGGAAGACGTTCAACAACAGATGAGCCAACTGGTAGTTGTGGTAATGTCAACTCTTTGGCATTACTCGGTCCTTCACGTCAACTTGCTGGTGTGGTGGCAGGTTTAAGCTCTTTAGCTTCAGATTCTACGACAGCGCCTTCTGCAGCTGCACTTGCTTCCGCTATGGCTGTTGTCGGTGCAACTGGGAATTGGCAACCTCAATTACCTATCGATTCGGATACTGCGCAATTACTTAGTGGTTCTACAGTGTTTTCGGATTTATTATCTAGAAGAGATAGTAAATTAGAAGCATCTGATGATTCATCAGTTCCTCCACATTCTAATGTATCATCTTTCGGTCCACCTGTACATTTTGTACCACCTCCTACTTATGTTGCCGCTGGTAAGTGGTTAAGAAGATTTTCTTTCTAAATAATCAATACAAAGAATTTTAAAATGTGAATGTTCTTTTTATTTTAACAAAATAAATCTTAGTAAGTTTGGTAAAGTATACATTTGTTATATTCACTAGAATTTGCAACATATGGCAATTTTTCTATTCTTTTAGTTCTCTTTCATGCATTTAGTTAACTTTATGTCTAAAAATAGTTATTTTAATTATCGTTAAGCATTAGGGAAACAAGGAATATTTCAATGTTCTACATTTCTTTAAAACTGATTTAAAATTGATTGGGATTCTTCTTGTCATGATTTAGAAATGATAGATTTCGGTATACTAAAAACTCCATAAATGATGTAGTATAATCCAACGTTGTTTACTTCATTCTATTTTAATTGAATTGTAAGTAATAACAAACAGAAGTTGTTGCTTCTACTTGGTTTTTGGAGATATGTAGAGTAGTGAATGGTTTATATACTTTTGCTATTATTAATTTTTCTTTGTACTAGGGATTGTTCAATTTCTGTTAATAAATATTAATGTCTTACTGTTAACGATAACTGTGAATACTGTTTTTTTCTAATTCGAATGTTCACTTGACCTTCACCCTTTTTCTGATTGGTTGTTACTACTTTCGGTGTACTAATTTTCTGTGCGTTTTAAAGTTTTGTTTTTGTTGCCATATATAACTATATATTAGTCTGCTTGAATATAGAGTTTTCCTACACTTACGTACCCCTTCATAATAGTGGATAATTACTGAAGTACTGTATGCCGGTTGCTATCTTCTCGAGTTCCGCCATATAACCATTCTGTGTTAGGTTAGGTTTGGTCGTTCCAAACTTAACAAATACCGTAGGCCAGTACCTAGGCTCAACCTTAAGATGTAACACTTTCTCTAATAAGTACATGTAAATTGATGATATATAAAACCTATCTTTCTTTCTATTGAACTGTTTTCTGTATACAGAAATCCGTGTTTTCCACAAATGAATATATATTTTAAAGTTCAAAATTTTATTTTCAGAAATTAAACGGGTAATAACTTGTATGTATCTGTGTAACTATAAAGGAAGGAAAATGCTACTAATTAATTTTAAAAACTATTACTACGTTTACTCTTGTATTTTCTAAAAAAAATAGAACTAGGGTGGTTTAATGTAAAACTTTCTTGTAACTCAGTTTAATATTTATGCTGTTGAAGATATATTACTTAACTATGAAATGATATATGTTTGGTGTTTTTTATGATATCAAATTATATTTCGAACTCATCCTAAATGATTTTTTAAAACAAACACTCATTTTTCATAGGTTGTATTCGTCACAGATTAATCTCAGTTGGAACACAACTAGAGAGTACTGAACCATAGTATGGAGCTACTCAACAATGTGTTCCCACGACCCTACCGGCGTTTGAACCTAGAACTTTCAGGTCTCGCAGGAAATGCTTAATCATTAGAACGACTAAGTGAACATTCAACGGTACAACTTTAATCGACTTGTAAAATAGTGCGACAATCATGCACTGCCACTAATGACAACTGCTTCATTTCTGTTTTCAATGGTACTTCTAACTGAAATCAATCTGTGATTAACACAACTCGCATACTGAACTAATTTCTACAAAACCCTTTCAACTAAATTCTTATTTTCTCTGTATGTTTATAGACAGTCCTGGTACATTCACAGCTTTGAGTCAGCCACGTCGTTCAGATGCTTCTAATCTAAGTCTTTTTAGGATATTTCGTCATAAAAAGAAGCGGTTTCGTTCTGTCGGTAAGTCATCCCAACATTTTTTTCTAGAGTCCTTATAATTTTGTAAAAAGAGTAATCGCTTTATTTTTGTAAATCACTTGGTATTTTGTCAAGTAAAACCAATGTATAGACATAAATTTTCAGTTTGATGTTCTTCGATTATAATCATGAAGAACAAATTATAGCTTAATCATGTACCATGCTATTCACATGTAATCACTTCTTGAAGGGCACACAGTCGGTATGTTCCTCCATGTACTTATTTTTTTGAGATGGTGGGGAAGATTTGTAGCTCAGGTGGATGGTTTTGGTGGAGTTTTGTTCTCTGAGCTGGATGGCTTGGTCGTGGAGCTTTCATCGTTCTTCTGAACGACATCATCAGCACAAACTTCAGATAGAAGTGAAGTGTTTGAATTTCTCTATATGTGTTTCACAGCTTGGTCTCAATCACTGATTGTCCCAATCTATAAGCAGGGACAGAATCTTCGTGTGATAAACCACAGAGAAATCAAACCAACTAATATAGCGTTTAAAATACCAGCCTCCGTAGCCATCCAACCCCCAAATAGGGCATATGAAGATCAAAGTCAAGAAAACGAGTGATTTGAGATTTGGGTGTGGATGTGTAGATCGAATATTCACCTCTTTCCAGGTTGTGGAATGCACCTATCAACTCTCAACCACAATTGTATTTCCCGACTTTGAGGGAGCATTCGACCCTGTTGATTGACAAGTTTTATGGCAGTAGTTATTACTGAAAGGCGTACTGAAGAATCACACTAACCTTGTACAAGCTATTTACTCGAATACTACTGGTGGAGTGAAAGCTCATAGCGAATCGTCATCGGAAGTGATGACCTCAATTGGTGTTCGTCAGGCTATCCACCTTCCTCATTTTAATATAACTTTGTAATATTGACTTTTTTTACAGATAACGTTCTCATCTAATTTTTCGGAGGTTAATCTTCTACTAAGAGATTCACTTGTTGACTTAGAATACACAGATGATTTAGTTCTGTTTGATGAGAACGTTTACAAAATTCGGAGTCTTCTGACCACGCTAAGCAACAATGGATTGATATTTGGCATGTGTTTCTCTCCTTCCAAGTACAAAACGTTTTTTCAGTGGCTGGTCGGCATCAACAGTTGAACTAATAATAGGGAATGAATTGGTTGAGTTTGTCGATCGCTTCACTTATCTCGAAAGCTTAATCATCTCAGTTTGATTGGTGTCGGAAGAAATCTCGACATGCATTTAAAAAGCTCGACTGACTTTTGCTAACTTTTGGCTTGGATGAGATATACAAACCAAGACATGAAATTAATTTTTGGAAATAGTGATTTTTGAATTGATCAACGTAGGTTGGTGGAGACCACCTGGTTGGAGTTAGCGTGATTATCGTGATGAATGTTTAGAGACTTTGGATGATACGGCTCGAAATTGTCTTTTATACTGGACTTCAACACAACTCAGATCAAGAACACGTCACTAGCCTGACTAGAACGTAAGTATATTTCCACACCAAAAATCGGCAACAGTAATAGTAATAATAAGGGTAGGAGAATATATAACTAATTTAATACCTGTTAGACTATCTATCAGTCTGATTAAACAAACAGCCAATCATTATCAACTATACAATAGTTTTCTCCCTTCTGCTTTATGGATTTGAAAGGTGACCATTAAAAACATAGCATATTCATAGATTACTATTTCCTGATCATAGGTCTCTTTCAAACATTGCTCGTGTATTTTTGGACCGTCGAGTCAGCAATTCTGAAGTTGGACCCATAGTTTTAGTTAGATATGTCAAATCCATTGACGAGATAGTGAATGTTTATCGATTTAGATGGTTGGGATGCATGACGTATACCCACCCACTGTACTTACCTTCTTGGTTTTCGGTGATGATTGATGTAATTGTACATACCAATGCCAATCATTTTTTTGTTCAAAAACAAGTTACATTTATGAAACATTTCTTGTCACTTTAATGTTCTACCTAAAATGAATTTCAACACCATCTTCATTGAAAATTTTCTTAGTTTCTGTAATTAACTTTAATTCCAGGTGCTGAAAAGTTAGTTTACTGGGAGACAAATAATTTGGATGATTTGGATGCAATTTCCACTGAAGGTTATCATCGTATACTCCAGGATGACGACTGTGAAATATGCGATATTGATCAATCTAGAAATAAATAATCAATAATTGGGATTATCTGATATGTTAGTTTCATATACTAAATAACAAAAATGAAGAAATATATACTACTGTCATGGTAGTTTTCCATGAACTTTTCTCTCCTCGAAACCAAATATTCATATCCTGTTTGAGAATGCCGATCTTTACCTGTAAACGATTTTAACACTAATATAATATTCTTGATCTACTTATTTCTTTCCAGTCCTATACTATGTACTAAGTAAACGAACTTGCAAAAAGTTTATGATTATTTCCATATATATATTGTGTTATAATGTCTTGTAATTTCCAGAAAACTTTCTTTTATTGTGTTACTTACTGTTTAAACCATAATACAATCTTTTCAAATTATATAAATATTTAAATGCAAATAATATTTGAATATTCTGTGAGGATTTTTAAACTGCTGAAATATACATATTTCTCCTGAATTTTTACTTCAAACTGATATTAGATTTGTGATACTTGTAAAACAGTAGACATTATTCTGCTAGATGTGATTTTAGAAATCTATGAATATGAAGATTCTTCTATAGTGGATCTTCAGTCGTAATTGTTCTTAACTAGGTGTACATTGAAGGTTACAAGTAAAACTTTCTGATTACAGTTTTTTATGAAAACCTTATCGTTTCTAAGGAAGTTGATAAGCATATAATTGTTTTTAAATAAGGATTCTTTGAAGCAGCCTAGTGAGTTATGTATGACATTGTTTTCTTTGTTCTTGTTCTGTTTCTTCACTTGCATCGTGTAACCCAATTATCTGGTACCATCGGTTTTGTGAAGTAAGAAATAGTAGTTGGCAAATTGAATGAAAAACAGTTGTTCGAGTTTATTAGTATCAGCAATGATAAGGCGGTAAGGATTGTTGCATCTCCATCAATTATCTAAATGTAAGTTAAGAAATCTTCATAACTCTTTCCAAAATGTTCCGAACATTGAAATGTGTAGGTATATGCGTTTAATAACGTGAAGTTTTGGAAACTTGTGTAGCAAAGCCAACATATTTGCACCAATTAACTGACATTGAATTATCAGAATGGGGTTGTAGAGATTGTTGGGTTTTCGATTTGAACCATGAATTAATGAACGTTAGATTACTATTTAAGTTAGACATTAACTCCGTTGGATGCCGGCCGGCTCAGTGGTCTAGAGCTTAGTCGCTTGTGCGCGAGATCGGAGGTCCTGGAATCGTATCCTGCGTACGAGATCGTTTGTACGCACTGCTGAGGAGTCCCATACTAGGACGAGATGGCCGTCCAATGATCCCAGGTTTTTAATGTTAATTTAACATTGATCGATTCGTGATCTCAATCAATGACATTGGATTATTTATTACCTTACGTTTCTGCAGACAAATATCTATGAAGAACTTTTCCCAATGTACATGGGTCCAAGTGCTACACATTACAACGGTAGAGACTTACCAATAAAGGGATATAGTTAAAAGTGATGCAAAGTAATTACATAAAAATCAAAGGGAAATATGTATTATAAACATCTGCGCTATAATGGTCAATACTGTGTTATATCAAGCTAGTTGCATAATCACCCAGTGTTATCATGTCATGAGTCTCATCTAGGAAGTTCGAGTTTCTCTTTACAACCTAGAATGATATCCAGTGAATAATGTAATATTTTGTTGTTGCCATGGTCAGTTATGTCTAATTTCCGCTTCAATCAGTATCCCACATCGAGGCAAACGGTGAATCAATATGTTTAGTACGTGGCCGAACCCGAAAACAGACATTCTTTTGAGTAGGAAATTTTTCCCTACTCAAGCACTACCCTTTTGGTGCCGCAAAAAGGGTCAAATGTCTGTAATTGATGCACATCCTTTACATGTACGATAATCAAATCGTAGCATAGGTTGGTAGGCAATTGTATAGTTCATTGGCGTACTTTGAGAAATGGTAGATGAAATCTGTATGTTCGTTATGAGATGCAATCGAGTCTATATCTACAGGATGAACACAAGATAGACTGGTCTTTAAAAATTGTTGAACATTATGAATAATATGAAAGTGTATAACTCATGCACAAATCCACCTTATCGATTTGGTGAAGAGAATAATTGCTTTTCTTAAGTCATCATACTAAAGGGATGAAAAAAACGATTTGATGTTCTCAGTAAAGCTACAGATACTTGACTAACCGTAAATATTTGAGTATTGTTCAAGAATAGATACGACATCTTTTATTTTATAACCGATTAAATCACTTCCTAACTGGGATATATTTTAAAAATAACAGTTTATTAGCCCAGTAGGAATAAACGAAAATGATTTTATAGTATTGTCTAAAAATTCTCTTTAGTTTGAGAAGAAACTCACAGCTTTGATTATTGGTAGTTTCTTGTCATACATATCAGGTTCTGGTCTCACAGTCTATGCTCTTATGATTTATAATTTGGTGAGAAAAATACACATAACAAAGTAATCACTGATATTACATGAAAAATGAATCATGTAAATTATCAGGCCACAAATTAATTATATACTTATTTGATTCACAGTGTTTACATTCTGGTAGGTTAATCAGTCCTGAAGAAATATTAATTCACTTAGTGATAACTTTTTACTTGGAACAGAGATAACCTTGGATGATGGATTACTGTTGTGATCTATACCTAGGATAATCCAAGTCTACTGGTAGTCAGAATATGAGTATAGATCTAATGTAATAATTTTCCCAGTAGGAACTGTTATGTTATTGCAATTCAATGATACTCACCTGCCCATGCAGAATAATTATAAAGAGAGATCTGTAGAAGAGGCTATTTAGTGTTTGGAGAAAGATAAATTATATTGACAACATGATTGAATATGTACAGATTACGCGATACTGAAATAAATGTAATAAAATGGTTTATTATAACTTGAACAATACACAAATAGAGAATAAGCAGGATTTTTGGACTGAGGTACAGTACGATGTGATAAGACAATACTTTGAAGTATATTAATAGCATAATTTTTGGGGTGGCCCTAATAAACTAACTTTTTAACTTTAGATTTGATCAATAATCTAAATTATTTCTTCTTGAACTAAAATTCTTCAACCTGTATAAATACTAATGATAATTTCATGTTTTATCGATTTTAAATAAGATTAGTTCAGCGAAGAGTTCTCCCTTCGGAGAATTCATTTTCAAAAATGTACAATCGCAAATATATTTGCGATAGAAATGTGTTTCAAGTGATACTGATTAATGAAATTTGGGATTTTAGATGAAGACTAGTAAAACCTATTCCGGCTTATTAATTTGATGAATACACATTCGAGTGTTTATCTATTGATGAATTACAGATATAAATGTGTTATATCTTCAAATAGCAATAAATTAATCTACATTGTTAGTATATTTGTTAAATGATAGATAAACTACTCTATACAAATCTTTAATTAGAACAGCAGAAAGTTAGATTAATAGTTACGAATACTTTCCATTAGTCTAATTTATAATTTTAATAGTTGAAATCATAAGTCAACGTTAGCTATTAAAATGACTACAATCTCCATAAACATCATTCTCATCATAATCGTCATGTGATCACTAGTGACTGACTTCAAAATGATTTCCTGGATTTCTAGTGAGATGCCGTGACCAGTGGAGTTCGATCCGTGTCACATGGAGACAAATATCTACTTCAGACAATGGATGAATGGTTGCGCAAGATCATAGATCGATTAAAGTTAGACATTAACACCGTTGGATGCTGGCCGATTCAATAGTCTAAAGGTCCTGGGTTCGGGTCTCGTATGCAGGATCGTGGATGCGTACTAATTAAGAGTCCCATACTAGGACGAAACGGCCATCCAATGCTTCCAGGTTTTCAATGGTAGTCTAGCTTACATTGACTTATGCATTCAACTATTAAAATTACTACAATCTCTACAAATCTCATTCTCATCATAATTTGTAATTCAATGTGTATGCACAGTTAAATTTACCTGACCATACTATATTGTTACAATATGTAAATTTCCATATTTGCATGAATAAAAACCTTCTTACTATTAAAAATGAATTGACCATTTATAGTTAGTTATCTAACTATTGTTATTCATAATCTAAGTAAAAAATAATATTTGACAAAACTATTAGTTGTAACAAGCAATAACCTATAAAGATAAGACTATATATCAAGAATCCTATAAAACAACTGTTTGATATATATTATACATAAACTATTTGTTATTAATGTATAATAAAACTATGGTTCTTTGATAGTTGTTTTTTAATCTTTTCTCAACAACAAAACAAACTGAAATATAGATTTATTCACATTGTTTTATGATCTGTCAATATATATATACTGTGTACATATAACTATCTTTAAAGGAAATGAAAGTAGATATATTGTTTCGCTTTTACCATCAACTAGAAAGGAAGCTATTAAATAAAGACAATAAATTCACTTGGTTATGTTTTACTTGTATCTCCCCATTTTTATTTAGGACAGCAATTGATCAGTTTCACGTTGGCATATGTGCATCCTGTGCGGATTGCCTCGACATAGCCTTAAGCTGCAAGCTTTTTAAGCAAAGATAGATGGTGGCTAGCAGGCACATCCAGCTGACGAGTCCCAAATGGGACGAAACGCGTGTCCTGGATTCCACTGCTAGCCACTATCAATCTATGCTTAAAAAGACAAGAAATATATATATATATATATATATATATATATATATATATATATATATATATATATATATATATATATATATATAGAACAAGCTGGTATTCTTATTAAAGTTTCTACAATCATATAATCTATATGTAAAATATACGATTTATTATAAATCTGATGGGAGCTGACTGAGTTAGTCGATACAGTTTTAAATATGGGTAACATGTGTTATATGTTCTCCAAGAGCGAAAAATCCTAGTGTATTCATAGAAGAATTTCTTCATTCACTATCATTTTTAGGTTGAAGGGTTTGAATTACTACGAATTTTCTGATTGAGGCATTCTGATCACGATGCATAGTGTAAACAGAGACTGATCGATTGCAGTCCTTAAAATCAGCAAGCAGACAATATATATCTTAGGAACTTGAAAGTAAGTAAGGTTAGGCGTTAGTTAGAGAGAAGGGATATTTTTTCAGCTAGTTTATTATTGAGCTTTAATCTTCATATACATAGTTATAAAATTTGAAGAATTAATTTCATGAAAAAGTATGAGCAATGGATAAACATGATTATATAATAGAATAATTTTAATAGTGGTCAATCTAATGTAAGTAAGTTTGTGTAATTTCTACAGTAAATGAGCAAATAAAATAAACTATGCGAAGAAGTTTGGTAAATTTCCAGTTCCAAAGGTGACCAAACTTCAGATGTATTTAAGAATCTTATGTCTTCAACAAAACCATGATAAATATTCACAAATAGGAAAATTATTTCACTTATTTGTAAACGGTAAGCCGTGACAAGCTGT